CCTTCAGAGATACTCAAAATAATTGAGAAGTGATTTAGTTTCTTACATAACATACATTAAAAATCTAAAGATCCAAAATCTGTACATAATTTATCTGCATGATCAGAGCACTGCATCCTGCTACATTTTGTGGAATGTTCTGTACTTCAGACATTTTAATTCACATTTTTCTTGTTCTAGGCTGCACTTATAAGCCTGGACATGAAATCTACCCAAGAGTCCAGCCCACAAGAGAAATATAAAGATGAAAACCAAGAAACTTTTGCCTAATTTTTTAATTTAACCTCTTCTAGTACTTTCCTGATCGACACCAGCATCACAAAGAATCAGTTTTTAACTGTGCTATAATGTTATTTATGGTTATGTTATAAACCATTATTTCCTAAATTACATGGATAATAGATACTCTCAATTTCTAATTCTCCTGGTACCTAAACTCAATGCTGTATGAGAAACCCTAGGCTTCTGACCAAACTAACAAGTCCATTTTCCTCCTCTTGTAGTACATGCAATGATGTGCAGAATAAAATTGAAACAAAAAATAACAAGAAATCAAGACAGACATCTTATCCTACCTGAGGAGGAAATCCAGCAACATTTTCCTAACATGCAAATAACACCAACAAGGAGTTATGCAAACCCACATTTTGCAGGACTGGGAAAGGAGCCCACACTTCTACTGCAAGAGTTGTCCATGCAGCAAACCCTGTGCTCAGAACAGCAGACAGATGTACACACTTCACTCTCCCATTCAGACCTGTCACGGCTTTCTACTGGGTCACGATGCTTGCCAGCTCCAGCAACAAAACTCTGGGATTTATGGGCAATGCTTTATAGCTGCAGGGTTGTTTGGTTGTATGGTATTGGTTATTTTTGTTGCTGTTTTAGGTTGGTTGGTGGGGTTTTTTTTGTTTGTTTGTTTGTTTTGGGGGGAAGGGGTTTGTTTTTGTTTTTCTTTAATTGCATAATAGTAGCACAGGTGGGCTTTTACTTTTATTTTTTGGTTCCTTGTGACAGAAAAGTGCCATAAAATTCAGAGCTGTGCTGGATGGCCTGTGGTATGGAACAGAAAGCATCTGGATATCTTGATAGCTGCAATGCTCAGTACAGTATCTATGATTTCATTTTCCAGTGTTATATCTCGTGTTGAAAAAAACAACAAAACAGAACAGCTTCAAGATATGCTACATATAAATCTATATAATCTCCCAAAGCAAAATGAGCAGCAAAACACAGGTGGTTCATGTTGAAGTCACTAACCATGTGTCAAGCAGTATTTCAAATGGGAGCAGTGAGCACCTGTAAAAACTGGGAGACATTTGTGTCATTCTGGGATTCCTCAAATGCAACGCCAGTCTGGCACTAGCATGAAAAGAGCAAGGGGCACACTGACACTGCTTCCAGAGAGGATCAGATGTTTATCCCCTTGGCTAAGATCAAGTGCAATTGGGTTACAACGATAGCATATAGGGTTACCTGAAGTATCACTTTCTGTGGTTAGAAATATTACCCTAATAGTTCTTGGAGGAGGAGGAAAAGCTGTTTTGATTTTGAACAATCATTTTAGGAATAAGATGCACAAATTCTGTAGCATTTCTGTCAGTGAGCCAGTATTCCTTCAACACAGTAGTGCTTGTAACAAAAAGCCAAGGTGGAAATATTCAATGTTCGTAATCTATGAAACTAAGCATACATCATAGATGTATTGGTTACAGATGAAGGGGGTACGATTTTACAATGGTGATGAACTTCTACTTCTACTGCCAAATCTAAAAAGCCTAGGATGGTATGAAGGAAAAATGAGTAGTAAGAAATATGAATGAGTGCTCACATGCACCCTTTTCTCAGTCCCTCTCTAAACAGAAACTGTACCAGGCTCAACACATGCATGTGATTTAAGCCTGATTCATGAAAGGAGCAGCTACAGTTTCTCAAGATTTTTTGGGGAGAAAGGAGAAGTAATCCTTTCTCCTCTTTCCAGTAATTGGAACCTCAGAGAGTGCACCTTCCAAAAATACCTTTGATCAAAGTTCCCAAAGTTGTCCCGCAGGCTGCACACACCAAGGAGGCAGGCCTTTTTGACCCACAACTTCACTGGCTAAAGAACATGCTTAATTTGCTCTTTCTTCACATGAATCACAGCAGCTGAGTTGAATAAAATACATACATTCTAAATCCAGATTCCAGCTGTGATTCAAGAGAGCTGGTAAATGTGACATGAACAGAGAACAACCTCCTTCCTGGAAGAGCCCAGGTTTACTATCAGTACATGATCTTTGAATCTGCACACAAGAATGCAGGCTACGAAAGGCCATCCACCTCACAATCTATCTAAATATAACATTACACTACTAAGTAAGACATCACTTGCTTTATGAATAATGCTCTAATACAGTCCAACCTTAGTGCAATTGATAGCCATTACCAAATGGGCAAACCATAGCCTGCCTGTAGGAAGCCAAACACACAGATTCAACTCACTTAGCTTTAGCAGAGCATTAAGCCAATGGCAAATGATGTTAAAGATTATATACCCCAAAAATAAACAGGTAAATGAAGCTGGATGATTACAGAAAGGAAAAAAAAAGGTATTTTACCAAGACATCAACAACTTCTCAGAATGACTATCACTGTCACAGTAAAGACCCAGTGCAGCTCTACCTCCAGCTTTCTTCTGGGCACAATTTCACTTGCAGGACTCAGTCTCCAGTTACATAACTGACCAACTGCTACGCAGAAGGGAGGAAGGAATCCCAGCTATTAGAATACAAACTGCAAAATAATTAGTTGGTATTGAGAGTGGAAAAGACTCTGCAAAGGCAGTGGAGGGAACAGCTTTGGAATTCAAACAATTGTACTGAAGCACTTGGACAGCTAAGTGGAAAAAGATCTAACACATATACTGGTTCTAATACAACCCACTACAGTTCATCCCAATCCCTCTCTTTATTAGGAAACATACACAGCCAATTCATTTCCTTCACTTCCCCCCCTCCTTCTATCCACATCAATTCGTAACACACAACCAAGGGAAAAGGTTTGGATCGGGACTACGTAGGAATACATTACCTCAGTCAAGTACATACAACAAGTGCAAAACCCAAGAAAAATACCACACACGGACAGATGCACAAAGTTCCCTTTGCAGTTAACTTCATTTCTACCTAACCCTGGGAGGATCTGTACGCTCAGCAAGTCCTGACAAACTGTTCTATGGGTTATATGTGAATTCAGTATTAAATACTGCAGTAGAACTGGGACCGCCACGTTAGAAAGGAGTGCTCACATGAGATAAGCATCTGCCTACACTGAAGAAGGGAGCTGTGAGGAAAACAGCTTGTTTTCAATGCATTCTAAATGCTCCTTGGACATCACTACTGCAAGATAAATATGTGGTCTAAATACACAGCAAGAAGCAAAATTGGTATGTATACACATGTACAAACAGATTTTGAATATTCAATCTACAGTATTTTTCTTTGCTATCGCTTCCTGGCAGTTCAGAGTAACCCTCTTCACCCAGATGTATGAAACAATTACATGAGAAGCTTTCTTATCTAAGCATGTCTACTTGTTTTGTATTTATGGACTGACAGCACCTGTTCGACAAATGTTGTGAGAGAACCCAAACCAAACAAACTCACTACCACACAGATAATAAAACCTAGCAGAGGCTTTTGTAATAAATGAAGAAGCAGAAAGGTACTAAGCTTACTTTGTTTACTATGGGTGCTCAACCTGACTCGTATATGGAGAAATACAAATGAAATGATAAAGACTAATCAGTTTATTAAAATGAATATGCTAATAATAGGATTACAATGCGCACATGGAGAGACAAGACAGACACACATGCACAGAACAAGCACTCATGACTAAACAGAAGATTATGTCATTTGATATTATATAATCCATCACAGAATGTTGCTGAAGAACAAGCAAAACTTCCCAAGGAAAGGGGAAAAAGAAAAAAAGGAACCTTATCAAACAAAACTTTCAATTTCACAGTGAGTTTCCTTATACAGAGCCCTGCCCAAGCTCCAGAAAACAGGATTTCTAGTTGGCACTGGCCAGATACAAATTCCACAGAATGCTTTTAAATGTCAAGATACACACGCCTAACTAAATATTTGCTTTTGGTTCTGTGAATCTCAAGAACAAAAGGTAAACAATGATCATGGTCTAACACTGGCCACAGCGTAACATCCAGATGTTAGCTTTAGCTTTTTAGTGTTAGTCACATTCTGATGTAGTTGGAGAAGAAACAGCTACATACACTGCTATGATGCTATACCCTAAATGGCTAATGACAGCCTACAATAAGCAAAACAGAATTTTCTAACAGAAGCAAAAGGTTTAGGCAATATTATCTTGCAGAGTGTCAAAGATACATATTAGAATTTTAATAGAAAGTAAATACAGTAAACACATGCTGTTCAATTCTTTGAATTTCACCCAAAATGGAATAAACTTGATTTATTTTCAGTACAACTTTTAAAAATCTGCAGTATCATCAACATGAGCACAATTTCTTCAATTTCTTACTTTAGAGGCTAATATATGCACTGGGTTTATCTCTCTAATATCCATTCTTAAGCCTACCTACTGAAACTCTGTACTATTTTCTTTAATTGTCTAATATGTACTACATGCTCTATTTCATTCAAAGCATCATTCTCAACTAGTGTTACATTCTAAGAAGTTAAGATAAACCTGTACATACAAACTTTTCAGTTATCCCAGTACTGCAAAACTAACATTTGAAAAAAAATATAAAATTAACTCCTTAGTATCAATGTGAATGTAGAAAGCTAAAAGAATACCATCTTTCTCCCTCCTCTTTTCCAGATTAAGTGTATATAAAAATTTTACTTTCGCTAATTACATAAAAGCACTACAACTTACAGCTCTTGAATTAACACAGTTTTCAAGTGATTAGTAGAGCAGAAAGCTGGATCAAAACAAAAGTAGATTGTATTCAAAGCTAATTTTGGATTTACCTGAAAATTAACATCTTCTTTCTTAAATATTAATGCTCGAACTTCATCAGGGTCTCCATTAAATATAGCTTGAACCAACGGTGGCTGAAACAAAGAAAAACAAATATTAAGAATGTAAATCCATTTCAGTTTTTAGTGATGCGTGTATGATACTGTAACACAACACAAACACAAGGTAAGGACAAAAATCAGACTTCCCAAGCAGTGGAGTAAAGTCACTACTAACAGTAGGTAGAACTGAAAGAATTCAGAACTTTAAGAACCTCAGACACACAAACATACTCTGTCACTGCATGAACCAATGAAACATACATTATTTTAAAAAGAGCCTGTAAGAGTAGCTTTTAACAGCTGAGAAGAGAATATCTCTTAATAAAATTAGGGCTCTCATTACACACTGTGAGTTCTATAAAATATAAGTAGGTTAATACCCTTTACATTAGAAAGTGACCGAAGTGAGTAGAAATGTTTTACCTGTTCAGAAAGAGAAAAGAACAAGCGAGAAAGCAAAGCGTATCAATCAGATAAGTATGGTAACAAATTCATGCTCACACGCTAAATATAGCAGGATTTCTCAGTAAAAGAAAAGCTGCTGAGATAAGCTAGCAAGATTTTCATTAGTCACTTCACAAAACAATTTCAAGAAATACAAGCAGTCACTTCACAAAACAATTTCAAGAAATAAAAGCAGAGGCCCCCACAGCACTGTCCAGAAAAGGTAGTTTGAATCTAACAGTTACATTTCAATTATGACTTACATTATTTTACTTTAGCTCTTAACTGCTGTCACTTGATGAAGTCTATCAGTTCTCAAAATAAATACAGCATATAACTGCAATATAATGATTACATCAGTTCCTAAAGTGGTGTTGCATAAATGTAACCCTGAGGAACGAGGAGAGGGGAAAAGCATTCACTCCCAACACAGTTCACCAAGCCCTCAGACAATCCTCTGCTACCATGCAAGAGCTGAGATCTATTACTGCTGCACCATCAATCAAGTTCCACGCAAAACAGCAAGCTCCTGCAAACATTAATTCTAAAACTAAGTTTCAGGCTTTCTCTCTTTAGTTTTTACCACTTTTGCTTCTTTCAACATCATTCATGTTCATGATAATCCTATACATTTCTATTGATATCCTCACCAGTATTACAAATGAAAAATATGCCACCAAACAACATGCCTTACCAACACGTTTCCAGGAGGTAATGGACGCAAACATATATTTTCCTGAGGTATATTGGAAACAAATGTGGGAGAATCATCTTCCTCCTCCTCCAAAACAACAATACAGACTCGACTCATTCGATCCGTTTGAAGAAGCAAAAGCAAACAGAATAACACTAGCAACTCTGTTTCTGGAAGCACACTGCAGATATTGCACCAAGGACCATATAGGGAATGCTTTCACCTGTTTCACATACACTCACAAACTTGTGAGCGCTGCTGCTGGTGTTTGAATATTTAGAAAAGGACATTGCACTCCCACTCTATGCTCCATTTTTCAGATTTGATCACCCTGAGACATTAAGAAAGTTGTTCTATGAAATAAAATTCCACAAAACATCGAAACCACAACGACGAGGCTGTGGAACAGCTGATAAAAATATCCTAGATCCAACTGAATTGCAACAGAGCTCGCTGCCTCCAAGAGCTGTCCTTCCGAGCTAATGTGCCCTTGTCAGCAGCACAACTTGAGCAGTGCCTCCCCCTAAGCAGACAGGGGGATCATTGTTGGAGAAGCACCGGCTCCATTCTGCAGGCCCGGAGAACGAACAATTGCTCTGACAGAGATGGCTGTGGCTATTCCCAGTCCCGCAAGGTCAGTTGCCAGCAAACAGTAGCGGGCTCTCTGCTGTCCGAGAATAAACGCGGGCTCTGACCATTCTGTGATACTGCAGCCCTGTTCCTCAGCGTCAGAAACAGTCCATCCAAAAAATGCATCCGTTTTCCAGCAGTTCTTCAGAGCGGGGAGAGAGGCAAATAATTCTTCCGCGTGCAATAAAAATATCTGCAATGTACAGCGAGGCTGCAGCACATTTACATGCGATGAGTCAGACCACAGGGACAATGCAACTCCTTGAATAACGCTGTTGGCTCAACCCAGCTTCCCCAAACGACAGACGCAGGCAGCTCACCCCTCAGTGCCACCGGCAGCGCAGCACGCTCAGCTCTCCTTCCCCAGCCTCTAGCTTCTCCATCAGGGAATGCGCTCGGCACGAATTCCAACAAGAAGGACGCTTCGGCAACATAAGCCAGCTCCCGCACACAAATGACTGCCTCAGACTTCCTCAGAAGCAGTTCATCACTCAAGCGTTCCTTTTGATCGCCATGTGAATCCAGTTCCCATGAGAGTCCTCATTCAGATTAAGGCGGAGAGCGAGGGGAAAAAAATAAAATCAGGCTCCACGCACCTCCTCTGAGCCAACTTCTTTATTCAAACATCTGTCACTGTGCCAACCTGATTTTCCTCTTCGGATGGAGGCTCTGCTTAGCAGGTTTTTTCCCCGACAGATGAAATGATATGACAGCAGATAAACCCTGCAGCGGCCCGGCTGCTCCGGCAGAGCGGCGGCTCAGTGAGCGCAGACTGCAGGCTCGCAGGATGGAATGCCCCGTAATGCTCACATGTCACACGCAGCCAGCTACAGCTCCCTGCAACTTCCTCTGGCACAGAAAAAAAAAAAAAAAGACTGCCCTTTTTTGGGGCAGCCTTCGCCGTTACGTTTGTGCCAGTTTTGTGACTAATTCAGCCAAAAATGTAAGAATTCTATAACTGAGCAAAGAGCAACCGTTTAATATTTTCCACTAAAAGCCACAGAGTAATCCGGTGTGCTGGCTCTGCTGACTAACAACAATTTAGGCAGTAAACAATTCCAGCGTTTAACTGCTTTCATATGGCACTGGACAGAGAAGCACCACACCACAGCCCTTGCTTAACTGTTTGAAGGCAAGGAACTCCCCACAGAATCTCTCTAACGTGGAATCTCAATGCGATTGGTAGAGGCCAACCACTAATGGCCAACCCATGGTTTTCTGCAATGAGGACAAACCTACCCTCTGCCTGAAACACGTACCTCGAGTGTATATGCATATGAAGTCCTAAAACTTGCTAAATAAGTATTTCAGCTCGAGCGTGCTGAAGTGCTGGTTAGTGGGTGTATTATGTAAATGGCTGCTAACTCGTGGGACTAACTCAGAGCTCCAGGAGCAAAGCAAGGGTTCTGCTCACGCTGTGCGGTACCTCTGACGTCCCTCTGAGCTGCCCACGTCATGGTGTGCCTATGGTGGGCAAGCTGGCCGGTGGAATTGCTCTCCAGTAACGCATTCACTCTCAAATTTCCCATATTAATCCAAACAGACAGGTTGAAATGGAATATTAAATGGTTTGGGTATTAATAGATGCAGCAAATTCCCACCTTTGGGAGTCATAGGAAAGAAAAACTCACATCACCACTCATTTAAAATAATGTCTACAACTGCTTTGCTGTAACACAATAAATGGCTCAACACACACCTACTGACACTGCACACAGACGAATGTTTTTATACAAGTGCCAGAGAGTGACTTAGTCCAGAGCTCCCTGAGCTCAGAAACGCCAGGCTTGGCATAATAGAGCACAAACTTTGGACTCACCATGAAATTTCTAGTAAGATTCAAATTTCCCAAATGCTTTCATTTACAATATGTGAATTGTAGCACACCACACAACTTCATAGATACATTCTATTCATTTCTATGGAGTCCAGTTGTTTTGGAACTTCATATTTCTGGTTTTAATTACAAAAAAAGCAATGGCTGGTACACTGTGCTGCTTTGTTCTAGCATTTCAATAATTTATTATAAAGAAACACCACAGATTGATCTGAACACATATGAAAATTCATGTTCTTCTTGGCCATAGCAAAGATCATTTAAATAAAAAGAAGGACATCCTCAAGACTAATCTGTTGCAACATCCACTGTCTGCTAAGAAACACAGCACCCACAGCCCTGAGGATATTTCACTTTTTGTGGGAAATGGCCTAGGGAACAGACACTGTAGTTCACTTGCATAACTCAAACTTCCTTTGGAAAAAGAAAAAAAACCAAAAATATGTTGTTGTATTTGGAAAATACGAAATATTTCGCAATGTGAGCAAGGTACATTTACAAACTATATACTTGGTTTTCATGGTACATACACATACATGCATTTGTTAAATAATTCATGCATATTTCATCCGTATGTTAAGTATTAACAAACAGCCTTCTAGAGCTAAAAAGTTTATACAGCAAACAAAAGCTACGAATTCCATACTTTTTCTTCAGAATTCCCATTAGGTTCCACCTAATGTGTTCCACCACTAGGTGTGGTGCTAGACAGGAGATAACATGATCTGAAAGCGGCCCATTTTTCACCTTCGCAATTAATCCTTCAAAGCACACCTAAAAATATTTAGTTAGAAATTGAAAAGTCAATATGAAAAGTATAGGACTTCACACTTACTGAACTGTGAAAATTCACGGTTAAAAATACTTTAATCTGCTGTGGTAATTACTCTAAAAACCTTACCCGTAATCAAAATAAACCAAACTATTTCTCAAATAAGTTAACACATATCTTGCAGAGCACCACGTTTTTTGAATGGTGACATTCCTATGGTCAAAGAGCCAATACATCACAGCTTGCATCAGGAAGAGAACCAGCACAACCAAGTCAATACTACATTGATCTTGATGGCATTATGAGCCACAGAAAAGTAAGCAGACAAAAAAAAAAGAAAAAATCACGCTACAAATGTGTGTATGCAATTACTTTCTTACCCAAAGGGCAACTAACCCTAGAAACATTTAGCTTTTGCTCACAATTAACTACTGCTCAAAGGTTACGTTACTTCAAAAAACAACAAACAAAAAACCAAAATATAACAAAAATTACATTTGGCCATCTGCCCCTTCCCACTCCCTGCTATTGAGAGTTCAACCAGAAACAGTCTCAGTTTCTTCCTGCGCTTTCAAAAAATAACCCCAAATATCCTCTGCTTTGCAAAATACAAGTTTTTATACCACCACCTATTCCAAAGGCTTAAATTCACAATTCTACTAAAAGAAATCAATCCTAAGTTTTAGTTTTTCAGTGTATTATCTGGAAACTAGTAACTTTCAGTAAGGGAGAAGAGATAACAGTAAAAGAGCATGAAGGCTAAGTAAATAAGAGGTGACTTTATAACTCCCCTTCACAAACTAATCCAACAATCCCAACCAGAGGTATGAATAAACAAAGCTACATCTCTCAAAATACACTTCCTAACTTATCCTAATAAAACTTCCTGTAAGCGAAGATCAGTGGGTTATCAGCATCCATCTTCTCCAAAGCCCTTGAATGTTTCAAAATTAAATTTCACAGATTTAAAATAAGAAGACTTTTTAAACAAGTAGTTGAGAATCATCTAACTTTTAATAAAAAGTCATTTCTACTGGGTCTTGAGTGGTGATCAGGTAGCAGACACATCTAATTGTTAGCAAAACAAAATCTCCATATTTAAGTCTTAAAATGTTAAGGAGTACAATGATTAGACAATAAAAACAACTTTCAAGTGGACAAAACTGGTAATATACATTTTTGCAAAAAAAGTCTTTGTGTTTACATAGTATTTCTAACAAATAAATTGCCTTTAACTGAATCAACTTCCAAGAGAATTCCATGAGTAGATATACAGAAAGCAATCATAGGAACACAGTCTGCAGTTTAAAATATGGATGACAGCAGCCACATCTGCACCAGACAGAAGAAAAAACTGTGAACTCAGAAGCAGCTAAAAATAGTAACCTTTTTCTATATATTGACCCTTTCCTTAGGAATTGATGAGCAGAGGACTGTAGCAGCACTGTAGATGATGCCGAAAACCTCAGCAAAGCACATTCAGTATCAACAAACCTACTCAAATAACCATTTCTCTTGACAATCAGCATTTACCAAGTTCTCTTCTGGGCTGAGAATATGCCAACTGGCTTCATTTAGTATTCTGTATAATTAAGGATCTAGGAAAGAGATAAAACTTCTGTCAGATTTCAGTAAAAATGAAAAATTGAAAACCGAGTAAGGCTTATGATTTTTCTAAAAAACAACTGGTCTAAGCTATGGACCTCTTCAGAAGACAGATTATTCACAGTACTCTTATCTATTCACGCACAAGCAATGTACACAAATAACAGATAAGCAGTTTCTTGAATAATTTATCTATAATATTTACTAAAGTGTTCCTAACACACAAACAAAGATGAGTGTTCAGCATCACCATGAACATAAGCTGCAATACTTCAAGCAGCCTTGTGAGTCACTTGTCTGAGCTCTTCGCTGTTTCCTCCCCACTCCTGGGGGAATGAGGTGGAGTCAGGAAAGAGAATGGTCTAAGGCAATAATAAATTACAGTCTTTCTTCTCAATTTTGCTCTGTTTATTCCAGACTCTGCATATGATGCACAGCTGGGATGCAGAAAAAGGAGACTCATTTAAACTTCTGGGCTCCATGCTTCTGCTTACAAGGACAAGTGAAACAGCTTTGCTTGTACCTCTTGGATGCTGTAGGCAGCTCTTCTTTCTCTCGGGCAAGTATGCAGCCTGAAGTGATTTACAGAAGCACCTGATTGCACAGAAAATACAAACCTACATCATTTCAACAGAAATTGGGATGCAAACGTGGCAGTAGGAAAAGTATCTAGCACTCATTCTATCTTCTCTCTATTGGAGCATCAGATGAAAAAAAACTAATGCAACTGTGCTTGAGATGTAAACATAATTTGTACATTTAATCAAACTGCAATCTTTTAGAATACATCATAAATATACTTTATTTCTCTCTGATCAGATTTTAAAAGTGTTAAAAGTGTTTTTTGCAATTTTCTGTGTAAGACTTCTTGCATACTTTGTATACCCCAACAATACACTGGCTAAGAAACTTTCAGCTGATCTATAGCATCTTACAACCACCACAAGATGAAACAAAATCTTTTTTACAAAGTGCCTCGATAACCAAAATACAAAGTCTGGTAGGCTGTGCCTAGTAGCTGAAGCCTAGCAAACAGTGAGGACTCAGCACAGACATTCCTACAAATCAACTAATCTGCCATGAAGAGGTGGTGTGCAATGGCAGGCAGCTCCTCCTGACTCCCTTCTCTGCCTCCTGCTCTGGAGCTCTCTGAAGGCAATTCTAACACTCAGCAGCTGTCCAAAATACAACAGTGGAAATGGATCAAAATAAAGTTAATTACAAGTCAAGACAACTGCCGTTTCAGGAAAGACAGCCTACAAAACAGTACACCTATCTGTATATGATGTTGTAGACCCCTATAATTCTTTCCAATTCAGACCACATCCACAGCCTATTTTGTTTCCTGGCACTAGAAATACTGTTAAATATATTTTACAATTACACCCAGAGCATACTTCCAGCAGTAATTACTGAAGGCAGCAATTTCAGCTGCACACATCAACTTTAAGAGCAGAGTGCGAGGAACCAAAACAAAACCCAAAGGCTCAGCAGTC